AAGTGGGTGTCGGTGAAGTGTCCTGCGGTAAAGTGTCCCAGACCCGTATATCCAATTGCCTTGCTCGAAAGCATCAAACTTGTGTTTATTAAAACATAGTGATGTACAGTAAATAGCACACAAATTGTAAAAGTAGAATAATAGATTGAAGTTGCTAATTGTTTGCGTCTTAAAACGCCAAGAAACAAAAGGTTATTACTGTTGCGAGAGTGGTGGGGTCCATTGTTTGTTACACGATCTGCGGGACCCGAACAAAAATACCATGCATGGACTTTAATATTAATCGAATTATCACCATTCGTTTTATTCAAATCAATCGTTTATTGGTTTTATTCAAATTATTTCGTTTATTCGAATTTTGGATCATTATGAGAAAATAACATACTAGAGGTTGGAACCAGTTAACCTTAACCGGTTAATTAACCAGTTAATTATTGTTTTATCTTTTTTTTTTATGTCAAAAAAAATTTGATGCATTGATAAGATACATTTCATAATCATAGGAATTGTACATTGTGCTTTTTTATATTCAATTATCTTTTAATATTTCCACACAAAGCTTAGATAATCTTGGTTTTTGATATTAATAGTAATAGGCGAAGATACGATGCGGTTGATTCAAATAAAGAATAAAAAGAAGTTAATATTAATTTGATTGAGATTTACATGACTCGTTAATACTAATACTAATATTAATATTTAATGAAATACTTTATCCGGTTAACTGATTGTTCGATTCCCAACTCCGCGCCTTCTTTAACAATTTAATAAATTCAGCCATTTGACAAATGGAAACTTTCAATGCTGTACATAGGTTTACTCCATCCCGATTTCTGTTATTAATTAATGATTATCTTGTTACCGAATATTTGTGTGATATTTATTTTAACAATAAAGTTTATGATACAAACATTTATCTTTCACGTCCAGTGATAATTTCATAAGCAAGCAAGCAAATTATTATATTTGGCAGGTCTTCTAACAATATATTCACAAAGACTGAGCTCACCTTATCACTGCTAAGATTGATTTGATTGGTTAATAAAGAATGGTAACAGCCACAGCTATTACCATAACTAAAAGAGTTTTAGGAACTTCTATATCGGAATGGGATTCATGCAAATGCAGTTTATTGATTTTATTAATATTAAATATGATAACCCATTTCTAAAAAAGAAATTAAGAGGTCTGGCACCAAGGTTAAGAAAATGAGTTGGTGATAAAGTAGTAATGTAAAGGATGTAATTAGATTGAATAATGTAACTGACTCCAAGAACAATGTACAATTATTTTTTTTTTTTTTTAATAATAGAAATTGCGGATGCAAAACCGGTGTATTATAATATTATAACGAGGTAATATTGGAAATGTTTATACTTGCGACTTATATTTCAAGAAAAGAAATTTTTTTTCTATGGTGTGGGCCCTCTTAAACCACCAATTCTGTATGTGATTTTTAAAATAATAGAAGTTCATTTCTGTATAACATTTTGAAAAAAATAGCTCTGTTATGACATAGATTAGGACCCAGCTTTAATGGGTTGTTGAGTTCTATTCCTTTTTAGTACATATATTTACCATGTTCGCGAGGAATTTGGGCGGAAATTATGACAATCTACAGATCCTTTTTTAAAAATTCTGGTCGGAGTTAAAAATCGTGTAATAGTAGCATTAACACGTCAATATTTTTTATTTTACTCATGTATTCATTCCATTAAATTGTCTTTGGGTACTAATTAAATATATTAAATATGCAAATTGATGTTGTAGCAGATTTAAAAAGATTATTGCATTTATATATATATGAAAAATTTTCGAAATTTGGCCACGAGACGCAGTAAGAGGTCCCGCACCATAGAATAAAATTATGGAACGTTGTTTTTTTTTAGGGATTTAATCAATACATATTACTCTTTAGAGTTCTGTCAAAAATTAATTTTTGAATATTAATCACTCGATATTTGGGAATTTAATGACGTGTAACAAACAATTCTTTCGTACGGCTGTAAAAGGATCATTCAAAAACGTGAAATGGATTTTAATAATGATGGTATCAGCAGTGGTAGTTCGCAACAAACACACAAATCACATCCAGATGCATATCACACAAGTAGAATATTAGATGACGAGATTGCTAAATCTAAAAAGTTATACAAGTAATGACAGTTCATTAAATAATCTTGAGTTTAACTCTTTTTTCTAAAATGCGAATATAATGAGGGGTTATTTGTATTTTTGAAAATTGGTATGTATAAATTATAGATTGGAATATATTAATTGTGGAATGGTGTATATATATTTTGTAGTCGTGATTTGTGTTTGTATATGTTTATATGCCCTTTGTAGAAAATGCTAATTTTTTTTACGACTCAATATCATATTTCGTTGGAATTCTAGAAACCCTAGATGTTTTTTGACAGACTTTAACTAATTGTGACATCACAGCGCCTACTTTTATACTCTTGAAAGAAATCTAAATTTACAAAAAATTGTGGTTTTCATAATTGTGGAATCGCGCAAATTTGTTATTATATTAAAAATTATAATTCAAGTAAAACATAATAATAAATAATCAAACAAATACCCCTTTTATGTATGACTGTTTGCAAGAACTATTGAAAAAAAAGGGATTTTATTTAAATTTTTTGGTATAAGTACTTCGATTGATTTATTTTTAAATTAATATAATTATTAACTCAAAAAAAAAAAACATGCACTCATCTTCATTTTTTATAATATTATTAAACATATTGTTTTGTGGGGTAGTCTTTTCACAAACAGTGTTGACTAATCCTTATAGTAATGTTAGTATGCCAATAAAGGAACATAATGCACTTCGAAGTTGTTATGTTGCTTGTGATGCTGACCAACTACACCACCAGGGTTTCTTCACGCAAGCTTATTACTATTACTATTACTATTAATAGTGGGATTTAATAATAATAAATAAAAATGATGGATACTTGTATCATTTTTTTATAAAAAAATCTTGCGCATGCATTTTATTTTTTTTCGTTTGTTTTTTACAAACAGTTAATAAATATATAAAACTAGGTGAATGCTTTATGACAGTGACTTAGTCACTGGTGTTACTTGTTATTTATTGTTTTAAAGCTTCTATTCAAATAAAGGTTATTATTATTTGAATTGTTTGTAATCAATTGACTGAATTACAAATGCACATTATTATCACTAATAGAATCCTATAAGAAAAATTTCTGGCCTTTGACAAAGTTAAATGATTTTAATATTCTTTTTGTTGTGATACTGAAGGATGATGTGATGAAAGGTTTGCTATGCCACAATTATAAAAGATTTCTTTAAATGTTTTTGTTTTGAGATAGCTCAACAAATTTTTGATCAAATGCCATCACCGAAATTTCACATGCATATAGAAGTTTAAAGCATATATATTTGGAAACTGCTAATATGTAAAAATAATGTTATCTCAATATATAAATAAAATAAAGAGTAATAGTTATTTGAAGTTAGTCCCAAATTCTTCTCCTCAAAAAAAGGTAGACAGCTCATTGGCATAACCAAGTCTTTATCAATCTCATTCATTGTCTAAAACAATTACAAGTAGATAAGAATAGAGAGGATAATGTGTATACAAATCATGGGATACCAATATATCAAAACAAAGAATATTTTTATTTTTAAATAATAAAATTATTTATAGATTCGGATCGATTTGATTCGAATCAAAGCACTTATTCGAACGAACCGAATCAGAAATTTGGTGATTTGAATTTCATTGATTAATTCGGAGCCTCGTGAAATTCACAAGAATTTTTAATTCGTAATAAATTAAAAACCGGTTTCTATATTAATATTAATATTAATATTAATATATATTAATATAGTATATATTTTCTCGCGCTTCTAAACATTCTGCAAAAAATCATTGTCATACAAATAAAAAATTTAGTGAAACATAGATTTTTATTATATGTTGTATAACCATTAAATGTGATAATACACCTTGGTTTTTGCGCAATAAAAAAAATGGGTAACGATCATTACAAAATCTAGATTAGTACTAGCCAACGGAATCAAATGCCCATTATGCTTACTACTTTTGTTATTGTACAACAAACTCGAACCTGTTTTATCTAAAATCTTGTTTTTTATTAACAAACATGGTATCAATAACAAAAAGGCATTAATTCTCTTATAAATACCATTAACATTAATAATAAAAATATCGTTATTTCCTTACTATAACGTTAAAAAAAGTTCTTCCTCTTTTATAAACCGAAATGAATTTTCTTTTTCCTGAAAAAATAGATTGTTCACCATTAAATTTAGGAATTATCGATGGAGTGCCAATTGCATACTTGATAAATAAACAAGTTGTTTCAATAAAAAATAATTTAACTCCTAAATATGACGACGATTTGGAGTTATGTTCATCTTTTAGAATTTCTAATTTAAAATTAGAAGAGGTTTGTAAATCAAAAAACATCAATGTTATCAGTATGCTTGCTTGTTCGTTTGTGCATTCATGTATTTTTTTAAATAAAATTTTTCACACAAAATTAGGAAGAAGATTTTGATGTCGATAGAATAATTTATAAGATTTATAATTTCGTCATCCCAAGTAGTGCTAATGACTTTTTCGAGATGAATGCTGAAAAAGATCCGGATGTAGAAAATTCAGTAAAGGCAAGTATTGTACATCCTATAATTAGTTAGGTATAACACAATTTTACAGAGTTCTATCCCTGCCTGGAATTCCTTGCAAGCCTCGCTAGCTACTGATTTTATTTGTACACTTATTTTTGTCAAACATAAAAATTTAATAAATATATATCTATATGCGTTTATTTCATATTCCATTAGGTTACATTTGCTTTTTTTAGGAAATATCAATCATATAAGAATTTGGTTGATTATTTAATAGAAGCCGAGTCCCATGAGTTGTTGTTATGCATCACCCAAAATGGATTAAAAGATTGGTTACCTTTAGACCTTATGACCATAAATGAATTGGGGTCATATATCAAGATAACACAAAATAAATTATTAGCTGAGAGCCGGATTGACGAACCAGATGAAGTAATTGATGCAAATAGCTTGTCTTATAAATTAAAGGCATTGTCATCGTTGATTTTAAATGAAAAATTGTCAACAAGTGATTTGCAAACCGAATTTCAACAAGTGCTTGGGGGTCTAGATATAGAAATAGGTTTGATTGATATCATAAACGAAATCCATGAGCAAACCAATTCAGTTAATAAACGTATTTCTTCAGTAATGTATTTGGTTAAAAGGTCTAAATCAATCAGTAATATTGGAGGATTGATGAGAGTTAAAGAAAAAATGATAAGAATTGTTATTGAACAATTAAAACATTTGATGGGTGGCAAAGTTGCTAATTTCGTAAGTATAAATATTTTGTATATTGTTATTCTATATGTTTTGTTTTTATACATGCTAACAATTTATTTATTTTTTCTAGGTTAAAAGTTTTACTTTTCTTACAGCTATTACATTATACAATCTTTATCATACATTTAAAAACATTTACGATATTTGGGATCAATTTAAAAAATGTGATGAATTGAGTAAATATCTATCAGAAAAAAAAGGCTATTTTAAAATTTATTTAGATCAGGTAGATTATTGTATTAAAAAAATGTTAAAATCATTAAATGATGATGATGCTAAATACGAAGGTAAAAGACATATAATTTTATTATTAACAAATCAATTTATTATATTACAAATTAATTGATTGATTGTCCATTTACTATTTACTATATAGATTATTTGAAAAATTTTAAAGATCTCAATGAAAAAGTGGAAAATTTTGTCATAGAAGTTAAAGTGACAGCTATTCATTGTAGAAAAGTAATTGACGAATTATGCGAGAAAAAGAAAAAATATGATGCCGTAATTGGTGTAGGATCATCGTAAGTGTATATATATATATATATATACAACTTAACGATCATGTGATTACACGTATATGTTAATTATTATTTAAAATTTAGGGTTCTTGGTGTTGGATTGGGATTATTTGGATTTCATTTCCTTAGAGAATGTATTAATAAAAATCAAGTAATGTCCATATTAACACATATAATATTTATTAACAAATATTAAATATTAATAATTATCGCTATAATTTTTTCAGATTATAACAAGTTTAGCAGTGATGGGGTTAAGTGGAGTAAGTTTAGCTGTATTGGCCGCTTTAAGTAGCAGTCTAGGCAATAAAATCAAAAACTTCGATAAAACACTTAATCTATTTAAATCTTTGCATGAAAAATTGGAAAAGGAGAAAAATCGTCATGTTGAAGAAGAAAACAAATTTGTTGAAAATAAACAAAAATTGATTGCTGAATATGAATTGCTTGTATACGAATTTGGAGCATTTGAATCGGAGCTTTGATAAAGAAAAAATTTACTCAATGTATTAATCATTAGTTTTTGTTATAATTGTATATTATCTATCAATTTGTTTAGTAAGGTTGTTTTTATTAATTTGTAATATTAGTAGATAAAAAATTGGCTACCTGTTATAGTTACCTTGTAAATATAAGTTTTTAAGATGTAATGTTTTACTTTATAAAAAATAGCTTTAAATTTTTAAATAGCAGCTCCCGACTCTTTAATTTCTCATGTCTTTCAGCGCCAGGAAGTTATATTTCTTGTTTACTTTTAATCATGTCACTCTTGAATTGTTTCTATGGTTCTTGTTAAAGGAACTTTTGATAAATACAAAGTATCCAAGAAAAATAATTAATGAAAATAAACAAAAAGATATTATCAAAAATATTATAGTGTATTGTCCGCAGAGGCAAAAGTCAAACTAAAATTAAAAATTATGTCAAAACTAAATCAAAAGTCAAAAATCAAAATTAGTTTCAAGTTGTGGTGAAACCAGTGACTTTTGCACAGTTGCGAAACCACGGTTTTGAAACCAACCCTAATTCTAATTAATACGCCTGCGACCAACAAAATAAACTTGTGAAAAATTTCTTTTCTAACGGTATTGAATGATAATGACACGTGATTACGAATCAAATGTCCACTATTACTATGCTTACTATTATATACTACTTTTGTTATCAATTTTGTTGTACAACAAACCTGTTTTATCTAAAATCTTGTTTTTTAACATTTATACTATTAACAAACATGGTTAGCAAAAAATCATTAATTCTCCTTATAAATACCATTAACATTACTGTTCTTTCCTAACGTTAAAAAAAGTTCTTCCTGGAAAAATGGATTTAATTCTTGATGGAGTACCAATTGCATACTTGATAAATAAACAAATTATTTCAATAAAAAATAATTTAAATTCTAAAGATGATGATGATTTGGAGTTATGCTCATCTTTTAGAATTTCTAATTTAATTAGAAGAGGTTTGTAAATCAAAAATATCAATGTTATCAGTATGCTTGCTTGTTCGTTTGTGCATTCATGTATTTTTTTAAATAAAATTTTTCACACAAAATTAGGAAGATTTTGATGTCGATAGTAAGATTCATAATTTTGTCATCCCAAGTAGTGTTAATGACTATTTCAGGGTGCAAGCTGAAAAAGATCCAGATGAAGAAAATTCAGTAAAGGCAAGTATTGTATATCCTATAACACAATTTTGCAGTGTTCTATCCCTGCTTGAAATTTCTTGCAAACTACTGCCATCCACATGATTTCATTTGCACATTTATTTTTGTCAAATATAAAAATTTAATAGATCCATCTACACGCACTTACCCCATATCCTACCAGGTCACATTTGCTTTTTTTAGGAAATATCAATCATATAAGAATTTGGTCAATTATTTAATAGAAGCTGAGTCCCATGAGTTGTTGTTATGTATCACCCAAAATGGATTAAAAGATTGGTTACCTTTAGACATTATGACAATAAATGAATTAGGATCATACTTCAAAATAACTCAAAATAAATTATTAGCTGAAAGCCATATTGATGAACTAGATGAAGTAATTGACACAAATAGCTTATATTATAAATTAAAGGCAATGTCATTGTTGATTTTAAATGAAAACTTGTCAACAAGTGATTTGCAAACCGAATTTCAACAAGTGCTTGGAGGTCTAGATATAGAAATAGGCTTGGCTGACATTATAAATGAAATCCATGGACAAACCAATTTAATTAATAAACGTGTTTTTTCAGTAATATATTTGGTTAGAAGTACTAATTCAATCAGTAATACTGGAGGATTGATGAGAGTTAAAGAAAAAATGATAAGAATTGTTATTGAACAATTAAAACATTTGATGGGTGGCAAAG